ATTAAGTGGTTTTTTTTTTATCATTATTTTCAGTGTAGTGTTATCATTAATAGTTGGTATTGTTGGCAGCAAGCTGAGCGCAAATTTGAGATGCCTCGTACCGTGGCGGGGCTGAGGAAAACTTACCGCATAAACGTAGCGGACTTATACCCGCGTGAGGCTGGGTGGAACCGTGCTTACTGTGCCAACTTTGCTTAGTACCCTCTTATTCGCACAAATTATGTGACATAATAAATAGTATGAAGTGAGCTCAGTTAGTCCTTTTGGATACAGTTAGAAAATACCCAAGAATGCCCAATGTATCTAGTCATGGAATATTGGGAAGGTAGATGCCATCTGGGTGGGCGCTAGTCGTCCTTGTGGGCTTGCAAGTGGGAATAGGGAAGTACTATAGGTATTTAAGAAATGATTAGACGCTGGTAGAATCCTCTTTCATCAACCAGGCGAAGGGGTTGACGCATGCAGGAAATTTCAGGATTCCTCGTCCGGATTCTGCGGAAGCTCTTTGGCCCAGTTGACCAGAAAGTCGAGCGGGGTGTACGGTCGAACGGCTATGCAGGGAGCGCCGTTCTTGGCCACTGTGTCGTTCGCAGCTGAGGTCACGCTTCGGCCGTCTCGGTTGCTACCGAGGCTCTCCCTCGTGTTATCAGCAACCCTTTCTTTTTCGTGTTTGCTGCGTCCGCTTGGCGTGACCTTTGTTTGCTCCCCGCGAGTGACTGCGACGTTAGATGCTCGATAGTCCGGTTGTGAGGACCATGGAGTCTCCGTTTGCATTTAAAGAGATGTTGGATGCGCATCTTGCCGAAGAGGATACTACTGAGCCGCAGCCGGAGGTGATGTGTTCGACGGGTCGATTATTTTTCTCTGCGTCTTCTTCTTCTTCTTCTTCTTCTTCTTCTTCTTCTTCTTCTTCTTCTTCTTCTTCTTCTTCGTCCTCTCCTTCTTTCTCCTCCTCCTTCTTCTTCTTCTTCTTCTTCTTCCTCTTCTTCTTTTTCGACATCTTTGTTTCCTCCTACGTCGTCTTCTTCTTGCTTCCACTTGGTCTTCCTCAGTTCTGTTTACTCCGTTATTTCATCAGCATGGTATTCATCTTCTATATTATCCCTTTCCTTTTATAAATATTTTGTGTGTTGTACCTTGGTTCTCATTAAGCACTTAGAAATGCGTGATGATTATGTGCTTTATAAATTATCCTCTGATGAGCTGTGTCTGTGGCAAGACTAAGCGAAAAACATGTTTTAGGATGTTTGCCACCACCCTAGCCATGGTTAAACGTATGAAACGACCACCTACCCTTTATGTGGTAATCAGTGGTGATCGTCTGAGTACTAGGAGAACCACTTGTTTTTCTTGGTTTTTACTTGTTTTTTTGTATACTGTCTTTGATTGTTTACCTGCACTTACCTATGCTATGGCTGGTTGTGTGTTTCCTTAATGCTTTATTCATGGGTCGCTCCTTGCCATGATATTTCGTAAATTGATAAGAATGTTGATTGCGTTCCTCGATGATTGTGTCTCTATGATTTCCGGAGTATCTATCCCCCCTTGATGATCTTTCCTTCGGATCTTGTTCGTTCCCCGTGGTGATTGCCTTCATCTTCTGCTATGGGTCAGTCCGTTTCACCTTCATTCTCTGGTGTATATCTAGTGCTGGCCACTCCCACTATATTTCCTGAGTTGCCTTAGCTTCTTCGTTATCCCCTCGCTCCTTGTTTGGTTCGTATGGAGTTGTCGTTGGATGTTGGTGCTGGGTGGGATTTGCTGCTTGATGTGACTAGGCCATGTTTGCAGCAGATAAGCTGAGGAATCATGCATAGATTTTGCCGAGGAGCATACTCATCGAATTGAAGATGGAGCCGATTGAAATCGGGACCGGAGATCTACCGACATTGGTTATGATGGGTGGTGAATGGCGGATGACGGATTGTATCGGAGCGGGCTGCTATATATATTTGTGTATTTGATTATATGATAGGTGTGCTCAGCGTTGTGGTTAGCATTAGAACGGGTAGGCCTAGTGTGCCTTGAAATGCGGGATAGTAGCAAATGTGATAATAATATGTTTTTTTGAAATTGTTTGAAAAAGAAGGGTGTGTGTAGAGGGTCATAATTGCTGCTTCGGCGATGAAAGATGATAACCCTTGTATGAGTAGGACGGGGGAAGAATGGATGAGTACGGAAAGGATGGGGGTGTTTGGGTGGATAGTTGTACAACCGCTGAATTTGGTTATCAACGTTCTTAGCGAGTTTTTTCGTGTTGTTGATGAATGGAGAAGCAATGTACGATCATGGATTTTGTGAAGAAGCTTTCATAAACGGATTGGAGCGGTGTGTGGCTGGATACTGAGTATCTGTGGTGATTGACGGGTAGCTTGGGTTCTGTGATCATCATCCTCCCTCTTTCGTATAGTGCGCATGATGGATCTTCTGTAAGTAACTATGTGATGATTTGGGAGGAATGCATTCCCTGGTTGTAGATAGAGAGCAGTTCGGGGTTGTATTTTGTTGTGTGCTCGGGTAGCGAGGGTTTCGCGGGGATAATGGTGCAGTGATGTCTGGGCGAACTGTTGACACTAGCTGACGTGTCAGTTCCGTTCAACGTTTAATAAGTAGATGGGTTTGAAGTGGCGCATTTCCATTGTCAGAATGTAGAACCTCTTCTGGACCATCGAATGGTGCGACGATTGATGGTGTAACTGCAAGTAAATGATACTCTTTTTTTCGGGAGTATCTCGTTGGCGAAATCTTTTGAGCGTTGTCTTAGTGCATCTCTTGCTTGGTTTCTTTCTATCTCCCTATCATGTCCTCTTTCTCTACCTCATGATTTCTGTGTCCCTTTCGTTTCCCTCTTGCGATCTGTCCTCTCGGTCTCTCCTATTTCGTTTTCCTTGCACAATACCCTCTTGTCTCGGGATTCGCTAATCTTGGAGCCATTTGATGCAAAGTTATTATTATTACTATTTTTATTTTTTATTTTTTATTTTTTATTTTTTATTTTTACTTTTGTGTTTATTCATGAGTAAGAGTTTTTGTAATCGGGTTTGATGTTCTGAATTGAGCGTCGTCTGTCTGAAAGTGGATTCCGCATCCATAGCTTCTATGGTTGCATCTACTTAGACCACAAATTTGCTGCTTGGTTTCTGGGGAGGATGAATGTGTGAAATGAAAGCGTATACAGTGAATCAGGTTCCTCGAGGGAGTGTATCTGGTGTTGTGACAGCGGGGTGGAGCATGTATTTGTTACATGCTGAGGCGTCCATAATATGTGTTCACACACATCATCACACCCACATATCCATTCGGGGGATGTACCCTTGGTGGAAGTTTCTTCTCATGGCTGATACCCATGGCCTCTCGCGTGTGACACACTAATAGGATGCATTTTTCTCCTGTCGATCTGGAAATTCCTGGTTTTTTACTGTTGTATCGGCTTCGATGGTTCTATCTTGTCTTCCTGTGGTACTTATGCGGTGAGATTTTGTGCTCGATTGTTCGTTGTTTGTTTCAGGATTTTGTTGCCCCTCAGTTGCTGTGGATTGCTGATCTTGTTACTGGAGACAAGGCCTGGCTTGCCCGCTTTCGTCCTCCTTCCCGTCCTACCCAAGCCCTGATTGCGTATGCTCAAAAGCAGGTCATAGCTGAGGTTAAGGAAAGATCTGTAGCTCCTGAGATTCATGCCCACCCCTTAGTCAAATACTTGTCCTTTAACGACTGGGCTGAACTGATTTATGTGTACCGGCACAAACGAAACGAGTTCGTCGATACATTGAATAGGATGTCGAGGGAGACTACTACCGTGGTTGAAGCGATTAGGGTGGAGGATAGGACATTGAATGTGAGCATCATTAATGCGGAAGTAAAGTTTGTGAAGATCTGGGGTGCAGACTCGCAATTCCACAGAGAGAAGGAGGTGCGCAGTGTGGTGGTAGCCGATGAGGTAGCTTTGGAAGATGAAGAGGATGAGATGACTGAGGAGGAGAAAGAATACCTGAGGATGAAGGATGCCGAGTTGGCCAGGACAAAAGCGGGTCTCGTAACTAGTAAGAGGAAATCGTTTACGGATACAAGGAGGAATGCGTTCCTTCCCCTTGCCTCTCCCAGATGGATTGAGACGATGTCCACGGTTTTCTCTGGCAAGATCTGGTCCCTGGAGACCTTCAACTATCTTGCACCGTTAGATCAGAGGGGGTACAGATTGTTAGCATCTCTCACACAAGATGAGATGAAGGCTGCGTATGAGAGAGCTCTGGAGATGAACACGTCCCCGCCGGATGTCAGATTCCCGTTCAATGGGGATGGGAGTTTCCCCCCCCCATGAACTCAATGGATGTGAGCAAGTGCTCCCTCCCTCGCCCCAATGTGTTAATCAAAGCGAACAAGCCCCCTCAGAACCCGTCGGCCCTGGCTGAGCTGAAGAGGGTATGGAACGTAGGTAGGCCTTATCTTAAGTGCAGATGTGCTTCTGAGAGTAAGTCTGATTGTGGGTCTGGTCCTGCGTGGTTTGATCATTTCATTTGGTTCCTCTTGTACAATCTGGATATTTTGTATCCAGATGCGCCGAGCCCGAGGGCAAAAGTGTCCTCTCTGATCAAATGCCTCTCCACTTGCTGGAAGCCCTTGATGCTGACGTCTTTGGCTTTTGGATGCGTAAGAGAGATCATGATGCTTCTTACCAAGAAGGTCATTGCAAATCCCGCCCTGACGGCTGGTTCAGTGTTAGTCAGTGTGAATGGCGCCGATCGTAAGGCGTTCAAGGAGTGCGCTAAGCTGTTACTGATGAGTAAGTATGTGAAGAAAAGGTCGAGGACAACTGAGGTTGCTTCTTCCTCAGCAGGAATGTGTGCTAGGATAGATGGACAGGGGACAATGGATCGATTTGTGAACTCGACCCCCCCTAATTCGACCATGATCCCTGATGCCGCGCAGTGATGCGGGAACCCCACCCGAGTCCACGATTACCTCGGTTGGAGGAAAGAGGGTTCGTCTGCCGGCGGTGCTCATTGGAGGAAAAGTCGGGCAGCAGCGGATCGTCAACAGAGCGATTTTTGATAATTGAAGTTCTCCTCTGCTCAAGATTCTGTCATGATTGGATTTGTGGCAGGTACGTAAGGGATCCCTGATCGATGGGCCTTCGGGAAGGAAGCAATGGAAGAAGCTAGTGGATAACGAGGACTCGTCTCACAAATTCATACATATCCATTATGTTGGCAGGTTGATGGAGGGATTCAATATCAAAAAGATATTTGAATCTGTGCTCTCGCAATTCGTCAGCGTCCATGTACTAACTCTGTTCCTCTCTATCGTGTTTGGTTGGACGTATGATGACCCTATCTGTCGGTACGTATGTAAACCTGCCTCTGTTTTCAAGCATTTTAACCTGATAGAATGGTATGGCTGGATGACGGATGAAAACATATGTCCGTGCAACAATGAGGAGCATTTCCGATCTTTCCTCTGTGATGACACCCTCCACATGACCCAGCCTTGCCATACAGCTTCAAAGCATGTACTAACGTTGGATCCATTGATCGCTGGGAATCCTAAGCTTACCGAATTACTTAAAATGGGGCTCAATCACATTCCTTTGAGATACCCCACGAGAGATCAGACTATTGTGGTACTTATGAAAGCGTGGGAAGATGCTCTGTCTATCATTTTGCGGGCTGAGCATATCCCTGGACCACTGATTAGACATATGACTAGTCTCGTTAGGAACTTACTCAATAGGGAGGTGGGGCAGTGGGTTAGGAATTGCTCGGGGAGGGATGTCCCGTTCCAGATGAAAAGCGAGACCAGGTTCTTGCTGAAGCATTTGTATGTTGCTGGGACTGATAAGGCTGCAAATACACCATTCTTTGAGTGCAAGCATCTCATCCGGGCTTTAGCATTAGAGAGGTTGTCGAGTGCCGACTTTGTATCCTCTGATGTCCCCATTGGTCGTCTCTTGGAAGAGGCATTGTCATCTCTGAAAACAGACTTCCCGAGGGTTAGGATTGGATCGATGAACTTACCGTATCTTATGGCAATATTCAAACAACACAAGATGACGTTCAGATGGCTGACCAATGCCTCTGATTGCTTTCTCACCTTCCCTGCGCTCCTGGTGGATGCTATTCTGACCACTATCAAGGAGCCAATTATGGAGCATTGCTGCAACATGGCGAAGACTACGAAGGCATTCCATGGGATTGATACTACGTTTTGGTGGTTCATTGATTGTATTCAGGCGGAGAAAGTGCGGGTCGGGTTGACAAAACGACAAAAGCTAAATCGTCCAGGCCAGAACCGGCAAAGTCGTGATGGTCAATCACGTGTCGTCTACCCATTTCAAACCACGAGCTCTCGTAATCCGCCGGGGCCCGTTCTCGTTCAGCCAGCTCACTATGGACAAAAATAGCGCTGGGGTCCACCCACCAAACAGTGGTAGAGTGGGCCCCAAGATCGAGAGGAAAGCCAAATTTGGGAAACGTCTTCACCTAAACCTCCTGAAGCCCGATCTTGTCGAGAGTGCTGCCAACATCTTTGTAAGTGCATCGTCACCAACAGCCTTGGCCAAATCGGCCAGGGCACAGAGAGAGAGAGAGAGAGAGAGAGAGAGAGAGAGAGAGAGAGAGAGAGAGAGAGAGAGAGAGAGAGAAAGAGAGAAAGAGAGTTCTTGCATCGAATAGGTGAATCTGGAATCCGGGGATTCATCTTACAACACTTCTATCGGTGGGATGAGCAAAATCGAATGAATCTTTGTAGATGTGTACACGCGTGCGCGCGCGTGTGTGTGTGTGTGTGTGTGTGTATGCGTGTGTGTGTGTGTGTGTGTGTATGCGTGTGTGTGTGTGTGTGTGTGTGTGT